AGCAGCAGCAGCAGCAGCAGCAGCAGCAGCAGCAGCAGCAGCAGCACCAGCAGCGGCAAGAGCAGCGGCAGCACCAGCAGCAGCGCGAGGAGGACGAGATGCCTGCTGCCAATGATTCGGGGTTACAGCAGGCGAACAGACGGGAGGACTGGCGGCGGCTCAGGATGACCATGCCATCGCAGCAGTGGATGGACGCGTTTGCAGATGCTGCGGGCGCACTGCTGCCGCCGAGGCGTGGGCCAGCTCACGTGGGCCACGGGCCGCAGGGCCACTGCGGGCTGCTGAGGGCGTGGCAGCTGCGGGTGATCGCGTGGGCGTTTTGGCGATGGCGCTACCGCCCAAGCACGGGCGCACGCGCGCGTTTCGCGCACGGCGGCGGCCGCCTGCGCTGGGACGCCGTTCGCGCCGCCATGCGCGCAGCGACGGAAGGGGCTTCCTGTGGCTGGCGGCGCGCGGTCGGCGCCGGCCGGAGGCGCGTCCTGTCGCGGCGGCAGGCAGCTCGGGCGCGCGTGTGGCGTCAACGGTGCGCAGCGGCCGCTCGAAAGAGGCGGCTAGAGCGGCGACAAACACAACAGCACAAGCTTGCAGCTTTAGGGACTTGAGTCATGCTGGTCATGACAAGAGCCATTCCTTAATATTCCGTGGTGCTGTAATGTCACCGCTGACCTGAGGAGGCTGCTTGCCATTTGAGCCATTTAACGGGTTGGTGGGAGGGGGGCGCGTACGAAGGGGGGCACCGTATAGTCACGATGATACGTAACGGGCACACCTGCAAAATTGCTTTCAGGCGTGAGGAAAGATCATGGCAAACAATCCAAGGGCGGATGTGCGCCGGCTGGGCAAATCAGCTGTTAGGTGGTCGACTGTGTGGGTGCTCAGAATGGAGCGTGGAGCCGGATGAGTAAATTGATGTATACGTGTGAGGGTGAGTGTCACATGGCTTTCGGGGGGCGGCAGGGAAGGTGGCGCTGCAGCTGAGAGTACAATGGCGGGGCAGCTGGAACTCGCCGTCCACTAAGGTAACACTTCGTCAACATAGCTGAACTTGACTGATTGTTGATGTCCCGCTTTGCCAGCAGCGATACATCAACGCTTGGAAGGGGATAGCCCCAGAGAAGGTAGGTAGTTCAATGCATGTTGAAAGAGACGGAGGGGGGGGCAGAGGGGGGAGAGAGAGGGAGGAAGGGAGGGAGTGGAGGGAAGAGTATGCTGACGCCTCGCACGGATGAAAGCCACGCTACAAACGGTGGCACGTCACGATGGGAAGTTCGTGCGCGCGTGCGTGTGTGCGTGCATGCGTGCGTGTGGGTTGAGCCACACCCCACACCATGGAAACGGGGCAGCATGCTCACATGGTGCCGCACCTTGTGACGCGGCTGTGACAGCCAATTTAGAATAAAATAAACTGTGTGTCTGCAGAATTTGATCTCTACAATGTGGACACGCTCCAGCCAGCCCATGGTCTGGATGCGCACAGGATGGGCGTCACGGCATGTGCTGCCTTGCCCCCCCTTGTCCTGCCACCCACCAGTACGTGGCAGCCCGCCCTGTGTTGCCGTTTCGCTCGTCATACTCAAGCCAATTGCAAAGAGCTACCATCACCTTTGCATGTGGCCGCTAAGAACAAGAACTACAGATATCATAGAGATCTCAGGTAGCGGTAACGATCCGTGACTTGAGAACGACAAGCTGATAGTTTTCTATCAAACTGCATAGTTCAATAGTGTGCATGGACGTGTACGGCCCTCCCCGCTGAGGAAGCGGCAATGCTCATGCTGGACTTGTGGCGCACGCGCTGGCCGCACCCAGCATCCTTTTCAGGTGCGATAGATTGTTACCGGCTTGACGGACCGCCCGCAGCAGGTCACCGCGGGAGTTCCACTGCCACGCACCGCTGGGGCCTGGCAATGGCGGCATCTGCTGACTCCGGTCCATCCATCGACCGAGCCCACCCACTGGCCCAATCGCCGGCGCAGGCATCCGCAGGCGGGCGTCATGCGGTCAATGGCTGAGGCACGCACGTTGTGTGTGCGCCCCGATGGCGGTCAGGCCGCGGGCGTTGGCCACAGACGCCGACCCTGCTGAAACCGCCGCACCCAAGCGCAGAGGGCGGCCGCGAAAGACCGCAGCTGCACAGGGTGAGGCGACTGGGGGCTACTGAACACGTTTTGACAGCTATTGTGTTGCCTGGGAGGATTCGGATTGTTGCACCTTGGACGGTTGACCAGTCGCCTGTCTGGCGGGTTTGACCCAGCTTGACTAGCCCTCACTTTCCCCTGCATGACCACCGGCGTGTTCCTGTCAGATGTGCTCACAGAACCGGAAATCGAGCAGCAGCGGGCAGCAGGCAGCGAAAGGCTGCTCAAGCAAAAGCCAGGACGTCCCCGCACCACCGCCGCGCCTGCATTGGAGGCGG